AGCAGCGGGGTGAAGCGGGAAAGCGCTGCCCGCGCCCAGGCAAGCTGGTGTGACGGGGCCGGGGCGCACCTCGCCGGGAGTGCTGTGTCATTGCGCGAGGCGCAGCTGGAGGCAAGGGCAGGGGGAACCTGATGCACCTCCGTAAGCAAGGTGAGGCTGGCTAGGGAAAGGAAGTGGACGAGGGAGGCAAAGTGGGCGTAAAATGGGAGAAAATATGAAAAGGGAATAATGCTTTATATCTTTTCTCTACATCTCTTCATCTCTTGAAACGCAAATCTATGTGCTGGGTTGCTTTTTGTAGTTATGTAATTATTGAGTGAGGGAACCAAACTTAAAATGTGGACTTGAGTGAAGCAGATGATGTTAACTGGCTCAGTGTCTTTTTACAGGTGTAACTTAAAAGATTCCTGCTAGGGCATGATTGCCAGTTTCCTGCCTGTCCTTTTGAGCTGTGGGTGGTGAGAAATGGACGGATGGAAGTCAGGGTTTTCTCTGTGCTCTCTTCACTATATATAATTTTTGGGCCTTATGAGGCTAGAACCCCTTGTTACTTGTAAAAATATTATTTTTCCTCTTACTGGCTGAGGAAGTTATTGAAGTAGTTAAGCTGATAGTTAAAACAAACTGAGAATACTAGCTGTTCTTTTTTTTTTGTCTCCCAATATGTTTTCTAAACAGGCAAAGGTGTTTCTCTTATTTAACGTAAATTAAGTATTGGCTGTAGGCAGGAAGGGAATTTTAAAAGCATGCTTCTGAATCTCAGGTTGATCAATGCACTGAATTGCTGCTACAAAGTTGTTCACAAAGTGGAAATATTTTTCAGTTCATTGTTTTTTAGTAATTTCAATTTCAGTATTATTCTCAACTAATCCTAAAATTTTGTGGGTTTTGGCTCTGTATTTCTTAAATTGTCAACAGAGATAACTATTGACGTGATTTCAGTATCATTGAAATCCTTCATTCCTCTGCTGCCACCCTAAAAGAAAGTTCTTTGTATAGTTGAGCCAAGATAAAAATATCAAACATAATATTATCTTCAGAAACTGGAAGAACTAATAACTATGGTAAATCAAATCGTCTTGAACATCAACTTGAAGGAACCCTTCATTATGCTCAAAATGCATCGATATACTTACAAACCAAGTAATAAGTAAAGTTAATTGCACTTGAATTTTATTTGTACTACTGAAAATAAACATCCCTAGTTGAGATACTTGGAAAATTCCATGTAGAACAAGTGACCACAATGAAGTTTCTTACTGATATATCTTCCAAAAATCAAGAACTGCTATGGAGGCCTGATTAAATCTTCCAGTGAGATAATAGTGTTGAGAGGTGGTAAAGAATTTTCAGGCAACCTTTAATGTTATCTTCAGTTTCTTAGGAAAGAATCATGATAAATATTTGCTCAAACCCTTGTCAAATTTTTATTCTTTCACATCAAAACACCTCCTTCTGTGCAGCAGAAAAGGTTTGTGTTCTATTACCCAGTTATTCATATCCAAAGGAAATGAGATAATGCAAACTTATGCTAAAGGATAAAAGCACTGGTTTTTTTGGGAAGCACTCCTATTTAAACTTGATTTGATAAACTGTTTCAAGAAAAGTTCTAAGGATCTAAAGCAGATGTGTTCTATTTTTATGGAATGTTTTATTTGAAATACATACTTGAATCTGTCATGCTATGTGAATTGGTCACTTATAAACTTTTCATATAGCTCTTTTCAGGAGTGTAAAATGATAGAATTTTAGGGTGGTTTTTTACTTTTAATCCTCTACTTTAGAAGGAATTCTTGTTTTTCTTTTCCAAGAACAAAATATACAAATAACTGGTCAGTATATTAAAATTCACTTTTTATGTTTTTTCTTTTTTCCCCTTTTTTTTCTTTAGGGGTCCAACCATGGCAAGTTTATCAAAATCGATTTTGTAATTTTAGTTTATAGTAATAATACTTAATGGTAGCACACTCTCAAATGTTCTTAATACTCTCAATCTCAGATAATGCTTTTTTGTTGTTTGTTTTTTATTAACTCACAGGCATATAATGCAGCTGGAATAATAACTTCAGTATGCAATTCTAGTGTATGTTGTCAGCATATGAAACAGTGTAGAGTCACGTAGCTACAGCTATGAGAATATATTTCAGGTGTTACTTTCACTGTTTCCCTCTTCATCACTCAGTGAAACTTGGAGCATATTTCAGCAATCACTCCAACTGATCTTTTGTGATTGAAGCTGTTATTTGTTGTGCTGAATATTAGCCATTATGATTCTTTGAGATTTTTGAGGCTTTGACCTGTTTATGAAGTTTGACCTTACGTTCATTTTAAAGCATTCTGAGCTTTTGTTTTGGTATCTTTGAAATTCAGATAACCAGCATAGGCAATAAAGCTTGCCTTTTTTTGAAAGCAGATCAAGTGTATTGTATAAATAAGCAGAACCTATTGGAGATAATGGTAAAATAAAATCCTTTCTATTGAACAACTAACACTAAATTCAGGCAATTCTTTTCTTTTTATACTGCATATTTTTCTCTTTAAATTTTCTCCTTGATGCCTTCCTTTACTTGCCCTAGGACTATTAGGATTTGCATACTTCATTTCTTTCCTTTGTATAATAAAATATATGCATTTATTTGAGCAGGAAAGTTTAATCTTATTGTCTTCTACATCTGTGTCTTTAATTGGTTACAAGTGGGTTTTCTCTTCTGCTGAATCTCAAACATTCATGCTATTGCCTGTCAGTGTTAGAAGGAACAAAAAATTCAAGGACCAACCCGCATTCCTGTAAAGTTGTTCACAGCGAATTTGATATTAATCTTTTATTCTCCTATTTTTTTCCATAGTTTGGTCCACGTTTAATGTTGCTTTGGGCCTAAGACATCAAAGCTTTTTCTGGATGGGTAGCAGATGACTTACTGATTTTAAAAAGCATTTAGAAACAGGGAAGGAATAGGAAGGAGTCTCTTTAAATACACTAGCAGGCTAACAGATACGATGTAGAAGGCCACAATTGTCAAAATTATCTTTCTGTCATGAAATCTTTTAGAGTGGGTTTGAAAGCCGGACTTATTTTTTTACTACTTTTACATTCAAAGCGCGATGCCACATTTTCAGGCGTGAGGCCAGCTGATATCTCAGTGTCACAATACTGGAACAAAACCAGAATATTGAGGAAACAGTTGGGGGGCAGGGGTACAGCATTAGAAAATCTTAGTGTCTATCAGTGAAAGAGAATCAATAAACTGTGAGGGACTTGGTCCCATATCAAGTATATCAGCCTATATTTACATAGTGATTCTATGTTTTTCTGATTTAAAATTTTTTTTAATGTAAATGAAATCTTAATTTTTTTATAATGAAGAATTAAGTCAATGATCAGTACTTTGTCAAAGATAGTTTACCAAATTACAGTTTTAAAAAATAAAAATTAAGTTAACAAATTGACATTTAGTGCCTTTCTTCTGTAAGGAAACAGTTCCTACTGCATTAGGAACACAGAAGTAGCTGGTTAGTGGTTGCAACTGCTGTTTGCAGATGCCTCTTTCAATTTGCCTTTGCTTCTGTATCACAGATATGTTTTTGGCACTTATTCATAGACTGCCAATGTCTGATCTGAGTGGATTGAGGGTCTTTGTGTGTGTGTTTTGGTAAAAGTAGTTGATATGTTATATATTTACTTAAAAAAAATTTAAAGTGTTGGAATTGCACACCATTTTTTGAGCTTTTAGGAGTCAAGTACTCAACCTTGCTTTCTTTTTTACATTGTTGCTACAGCTTGTCCGTTTGTATGCAAAATGCATCTTCCTCATAAATGTGTAATCCTGAAGGCCATGACGTGAAGTGTGTAGTGATTTTACCAAGTTGTGCTTTTATTGTAATTCAAGAAATTGTGCTGTGGGCTTATTCTTTTGTTTTGGGTTTTTTGTTGTTGTTATTCCTGCTTTGTGTGTTTTGGTCTTGTAAATACTTAAGCATGATCAAAACTTCTCTGTAAAAGAAGAAATTTTACCAGCTGCAGTCTGTCTTACCCAGAGGCTGAACTAATCTGTAAATACAACATGGTATCAAAGCAATGCAGGACATAATATTTCGACTTTTCCTCCCTGTCTTTAGATTGGACTGGTTTAGATGAAGATGAAGATGCACATGTCTGGGAAGACAATTGGGATGATGACAATGTAGAAGATGATTTCTCCAATCAGTTAAGGTATTTTTTTTTTTTTAATTAACTTACTATTCTAGAAATGGGCAAAAAGATTTAAAAACTGCATTGTTTAGAAGGACATATCTGAAAGTTTGAATTAATTTTTTTAAAAATAGAGCTCTAAAGCAGAAATCCTGCTTTGTGCTTATCTATCTATCTGAAGTCTTTCAGAACCAGATTTATGGGATTACAGCAGAATTTTAAGTACTGGTCAGCATTTCCTCTTTTAATAAAAACTGCTATAAGCCCTGAGATAACTATCACATCACTAACATCTTCGGGCTTTTGCACTGTTGTGCACCTTAAGACAGTACAAAGACCTCAGCAAACTGTGACAAAGTTGACACTCTTTCAATTTAAGACAAATAAGTCTGTTTCTAAGTAGCCTACACATGTGGTTCAGAGCCAATTCTGAAATGACTGTGAAGATTAATGGCAGGAAGTCCAAGATTATCTTCTATGCTATGTGGTATACAAGGTATGTTAGTATAAAATTTTTCTTACACCTTCAAATAGCATTGCTGTTTTATATCCAAATAGATAAGTGAACTCTGGCAAATTTGTCCAAATTAATATTAAACTTCCCTTCTTGTGTGTGGTAAGCATGTTGTGTATGAGAAACAGTAGCAAAATAACTGTTGATAACATGCTTTTAATAAAATGATAGCGATTTGAGTACCTTTAATCCAGCTGATTAATCTTCTGTCACTTGTATTTTCAGTTAATCCTTTACAGATTCCAAGTTATAACTTAAGGTGTTTCAAGCATCAATACAGATTCTCAAATTCCCATTTTATAATTAATCCATCTGTATGGTGCATGCAAAACAAACTATCTGTAATACAGCTTGTTTAAACAGTCCCTGGGCTGACCTGCCGTGTGGGACTCAGATGGAAGTGGCCTTTGTGTAGCAGATGTGAACAGAAAGTCTGGTATAGTTGTTTGTTATCAGGCTGAAAGGCGGTTAAATCGTAATATTGAAAATGATGCTGATACATAGTACAGCAGGAACTTAAAAGGTACGACATAATTCCTGATTATCACAGTCAGTCTTGACAGGCCTTCGATACATGTGTCTTAATTGTAGTGTGTAGTATTGATGTCCTTATGCTAGTGTTAAAATGAAAGTTTGCAGTGCTGCTGTTTTGCAACCTAGTTTTATTTCATCTTGCTTCTAGAAACTGAAGTTTTGCATTTTTGTAAGCAAAAGTTTGCGTTTGCTTCTTAACTAGGTCAATTTCTAATGTGAGGCAATTTAGTAATCTCTATTCCAAATTCCTAGCAAAGGTAATTTATAGCAGTTAGAAAATGCTGCAGTCCTCCATTTAAAAAAAAATCTACAACTGTTTGAGCTAACCTGGAATGTATTTAGAGATTTGGACTGTTCTCCAGTGATATCTAGATACTGCATGCTATGGCTAGGAGATACAACGGGGTGTAATTCTGGCTGATGTGGTGGAGGCAAAATGGGGACAGACGACAAGATTTTTTGCGGTCACAGACATACTGTCCTGGCCACAGCTGAGGTGAATGAAGCAGTCCTTTTTCCTTGGAATTGTTTGCTGGAAGGTAGATCTCACCAAGAATTTAAAATACTGCAGTCTGATACTGTTTTAAAAAAAAAAAAAATTTGGAAATAGGTACGTTTAAATTCATCAAACAAATGAGGAAGCGCATTAGGTTTAAGGAAACACTGAGAATAAGCGGTAGAAAACAAAACTATATTTTTTTCTAATGTGTCGGGAGTTATTGCTGACCCAAAGGTACTGCATTGCACTGTATAACCTAACTGCTGCCGCAGTGTGACAGAGGACAGTTAACTATGATGAAAACAAATATTTGAATTTTCTGATTAGAGTTCACTTCTAGTCATCTAAGACTGACTAAACTGAAGAACTACAAAGCAAGTGAAGTTAAGGTTATTGATGTTAATCAAAAAGCAATGTGACCTGTTCTTCATACTATGTCTAAAATGATTGTATATTATGCAGTGTGTTTTATTTTTAAAGCTGCCAATATCTGATATTTTGTGTTTCAATATACTTATCTTTTTTTATACAGAGCTGAATTAGAAAAACATGGATACAAGATGGAAACCTCATAGTTTTTGCTGCATATGGAGTAGTTTAATGTTGAACTGTGGATAGACTATATTGAGAAGAATTAAAAATGGGAAACAAGAAGAACATTTAGTTCATTATCTGCTTGGATTTATTATTGTTTTGTATGAAAAATAAAATTTTTTAATCTTAGCCAACTTGTATGTTCAACCTCTGCTAAACTGATAACTTTTTCAGTTCCAAAATGCCTTGAGTGACAGAGTTTATCATCTTGCTTATAATGCTACCAGTGGTTTTTCAGTAGCTGATGCTATTGCACTGAAGTCGTGGGGGAACCAAAAGAGTATTATCAGAATGAAAACTCTTGAACTCCTTTGTTGTTGGGGAGGTGGAGATGTCAAAGGAAATAAAATACTAATGTATTCCAGTTAAAATACAGCAGAAATAGAAAAGTTTTTTTTTTTTTTGGTGACTGATAGAGTAAAGTTTATTTTACTTAAAGTCATTATGAAATAAAAATATTGATTTTAATTAGTAGGTGCTGGTTTGATGGTCCGTGAAAGATAAAGCCCACTATAAAATACATTTTACAACAGCAGAAATCCAAATTTTCTAATCTTATTCTGTCACTTCTCAAGCCTGTTAAAGAGGAGACCTCTTTGGAGGTGAGAAGAAAGTTCTTTTCTCATGCTTGTTTAATCCTAGGAATCTCTGCTGAAATTGCCTCCAATTTGCCAGTTGTAGTACTTCATCTATATCACACAAACAGGCCTGCTGAGAACGGAAATCAAACTTCCAACTCATTTCATGGAGGCCAACAAATAGTTGCCACAAAAATACAACAGCAGTGACGGGATTCGATTACTATCTGAACTAGAAAAGAGAAGGTGGAAATTACAAAACCCATTACCGATTCCATGAATCCTCTCCAAAGGAGCTGTTAAGGAGCTGTGTACGCAAAGCCATAGGGAGTTGGCAGTCCTGGAAATGTAGACCATGGTTGCAAATAAAAAAAAAATCTGATTTGCTTTTAGTATAAAGGGGCAAGTATAGGTATGAACTCATGGTACTTGAATTAACAACGTGCTTTGTCAGGCAATTCATTGCAGTGGAGCAAAGATTTGAAGTTTTTCAAAGTGAGCTTTCAGAATAAAAATGATGGAAATGCAGTAGTGATATTAAATGATTTCCTTATCATTGTTAAATAAATAACTGAATATCTTATGTTCTAATGGCATGTATTAATGTGAAATTCTGAGAAAATAACTCTCAACTCTCCCCCCCAGCTTATTCATGAAACCTGTTCTTGTATTTACGGCGGAGGCAAAATTACTGTGGCCCATATTGCTTTCTGAAGATAGCTCTGTGAGAATGAGACCTGCCATTACCATCTGAATGGTTCTGCAAAGCTAAATGTTTCAGATGGAATTAGAGCGTTTTAGTTTATCCAATTCTATACTGCTTGGGAAAAGAAAGGATGATATTTCAAATAGACTTGTCCTATGCTCACATAAATGACTTGCGCAGTTTGACATGTGGAGCCTGAGCAGCCCAATTCAGTAGAATACAAAGTCCTGCAATTCGTATTTTGATAAGTAACGAACCAAAAGTCTGTGTATTGAGCAGCCAATAGTAATGCAAACAACCTCAAGTCAGAGTTGGGAGTTAAAGAAATAGTATATTGAATACAGTTCTGGGATTGCTGCTGTTATTGATTGTTAGTTTTGAGAAATTGAATGAGACTGATGAAAATAAAACAACAGGAGAATTATGGAAAAGTCCGGAGCAATGTTTGGATCTGCTTGTTATAGAGGATTCTTGAAACATGGCTTAAGCTGCCCTAACACATCAATTGCTAGCAGCAGCAGTAGTCCTTTAGTAGCAGCAGGAGGAAGCTATTGAGGCAGAAAGGTATCTTTGCCTCAAGAAATTTTGCTTAGATTTTGCTGAGGCACAGTTGCCTTTTAGTATCGTTTTCTGCATTCTTCACAAAAATGTGGTGCAAAAGATTAGAAGTGCCCCCTCTCCCTCCCCCATCAAATTTCTCAGAAGTAGAACTGAAGAAAGCTAGGCTGAGATAATATGATGGTTCTGCACCCAGGCAGTATTTCAGTAATAACCTGCTGCTAGCACAATATCTGACCCCCCCAGCTAAAATAGCAATCTGCTTTGAAGATGTTTGATGATAGGCTTTGTGTAATACTGTCCATATAGGAGAATTTGTTGCAAAGAAGTAAACAAGAAATTGCATATAAAATGGTATGACAATGTAGCTTATTGCAAAGTTGAGCACTTGATAAAGACCAATGGCCTGTGTAATTACCACTGTATTCTTAATTTTTTTGCCCTCAAGTTTGTTGTGGGGTCATATAGTTTCTGCAAGATGGCTTATTTACTCCCTGCACAAAAGGGTTATGTAAATTCTCTTAAGCTTTCTATTAGCAAAATGCCTTTGGAACCTTTCTACCTCAGATTGGCTGATTTAGTTTTTTTCTAAAAATATTCAAACCTAGCTGTTCTTGAGACTGAAGCTAAAGAATTTTTTCCCCATTTTTTGCCCTTGAAAGCTTTGGTGTTATAGAGGGAAACTGTGTTGCTTGTGAAGGATGTCACTGCAGCAATGCACCCTAATTTACCTATTTTACAACTTAAATCTTCCTGCACGCTTGGAGACTTGAGTTTTTGAGATCATTCATGCTGGGAGAGGTTTTCTTTGTAGTTCTTCCTTGGTCATGTTTCAGTGACACCTGTTTAGCTGAGGTATGCATGAAGTGTGGGAGATGGGAATGCTATGTGGGTAAGAGGGAAGACATCCTGAGAGGAGAAAGGGATTTGGGAAGAAGGATCTTCAAACCAGCAAGGATGGGAATGTTGTGGAGAAAGTGAGCTTGGTGAAGGTGCAAGTGTGGGAGAGGTTGGACTTTCTAGTCAAGGAAGTAGGACAACAGATGGAGATGTGCATGTGGTGGGAGTGGGGAGTGGATATTGCTGCTGGGTAGTCTGAATTCCTGGCTGTGGAAAGAGATGAACGTTGCCCTGTGTTTTGGGACCTAACCTCGTTGCCAGCCTGGTCCTCAGCAGAGCTCCGAGACTCTTAGATGTGTCATTATGACCTCTGAGCCATGCTGGGGTACATGGCAGGCATCTGCAGCCCTTCCTGCATAGGAAGGTTTGGAAGCCTTTTCCAGTGTGAGGAAGGCTGGCTAGCTCTGATCTAGATGCTGAGGATGTATTAATGCAAAGCACTGTTTAGTTAATTCAGGGGAAAGTGTTCAAAAGGTACATGATTGCTAATGAGTTTGGCTTTCTCATTTGACTTTACCTTGGTCCTTAAGAAACTATACACACTTAAGAAGTGCAAAGTTAGACAAACATACAAAATTGTGAGCAGTCATAATTAAGGTTAGCTGGACAGCCTTAAATTCAGTTCCTTTGTCTCCTCACAAAAGCCCATGCTATTCTTCCATAGGGTCCCTACCTTGGGTAGTTGGCAGAACAGAATGAACAGCTTCATTAGATACTTTCTTCTTCTGGGTCACAGTGTGTCCTGTTCCTTGTTTATTGCACTCTATTCAGGCCCTGCTGTACAGAATGAATGAGTAATGTTGATTCTCTGTGTATCACAGCAGTCTGAGTGTTTTGCAAATGTTCTAATACCTTTTCCAACGTCCCTAAAGAGACAGAGAAGTATTTTCCTATCTTTGAAGGGTATACGAATTTTAAGCACTCAGTGTGAGACCCCAGGACCTCATGTTTCAGATTATACAGTAGTATGTAAAACACTCTGTATGTTCAAATATTTCTTTAGCTTCAGTTACTGCTGTGCATATTCAGCATTTCTGCCAATCAGGATTTATGGGGTATCAAGTCAGCCACCCAGAAACAGAGGAACATGCATTACAAACTTTGCAGCTTTTGTAATGAATGAGACAAGGACTCTGCAAGTCACTAGCTTCCTCTACTACCTTCATTTTAAAATAAGTTTTTTCTTGAACGCTAATAAGGCTAAGTCCTCTGGGGGGGGGGGTGAGTTTAGGAAAATATGTGATCAAGAAATTAAATACTTGATACTACATATGCATGGAAAAAGGAATAGAGGAAAAGGAACAGAGTTATAGTTCCAGCATTTATCTTTCAAGTGTCTGACTTTACAGCCCTAATAATAATCTTTTAATAGAGGTATGATTCTGTGTTTGCATAATAATACAGCTAAATTTGATTTAATTCCAGGGCATGCAGGGAAGTGAGAAGATTGATGCCCAGAAAGTTTTTGTGATGGAATTTTACTGAAGAATGAATGTTATGTAACATTTCAAACACACTGAGATCATTCAAAATGAAATGTGTGATAAAAATGTAAAATATTTGCAAACTATAATTTAGCAACCATTTTAAAATCACAGTCAGTATTCCAATCTCTTACGTGTGGTGGGTGAGATCCTTTGTCAACCGAAAGCTAAGGGCAGTGAATGTGAGATTCATTAAGTAATTATACAGGAACATCAATTTCAAATTAATTTCAACATTAATGTCTTAGACATTAACAACCAAATTAGGAGACCAGAGGCAAACAGTAATGCAGCCTAATACTTTTAATAAATGAAGGCATTTGAAGCGATTTGCATAAATCGGATGATAAGCCCTCATTTAACGGGTTTCCAAGTCCTCCCTCCCCTTCCTGTCTCTCTCCCCCTCTCACCTTTGCATGTTTCCAGGGCATGGCCATGCTCCTCATCTCCCCAGCATGCTTTTCTCAAATCCTTTCTATATTGGCTTCATAATAAACGATCCAGCTTTGTGGAATTTGTTAGTATGACCTGGAACCTTTTAATGCTTCTGAATATGCAGTGCTGCAAGGCATGGCATAGAAATGGAGCCACAATTCACAAGGCCCTCAGGAAAATACATGGTAGAGAATAAAAAAACAGATTAGGGTATTGGGGGATGCTTGCCCGCAGGCAGGGCAGGGAGATGAAAAACAGCACATCAGCAAGTGAATGGGTCACAGGTAATGGATAATGACCAGTGCTTTTCATCTCTCCTCCAGCCATCCCAAGGCTCTTAATGAAACTGGCTGGTCTTGCTTTGCCTTGCACCTCCATGGGGCGCAGCAGCTACCAGGACACCAAGCTTCGGGCTCCAGCCACTGCCTGTCCCTGCATCCTGCCATGAGCGAAATAAAAGCAATTCCT